ATCATTCTAATTTTTACAATTTTTTCGAATTTTGATCGAAGATATCTCGACATTTACCTGACCACACTCGACAAACTTTTTTTTTTTAGTTCTACTGATTTCTACAATTAAAATAAAAAAAAAAAGTTCGTCGAATTTGATCAGGTGGTTGTCGAGATATCTTCGATCAAAGTATTGTAAATTTAACGTCTATCAAATAGAAGCTGCGTTGCAGGTTGTGAAACTTTGATCGAAGATATCTCGACATCTACTTGACTAAATTCGATGAACTTTGTTTCTTTGAATTCTACAAATTTCTACAATTAAAATAAGAAAAAGTTGGTCGAATTTAGTCAGGTAGTTGTCGAGATATCCTCGACCAAATATTTTGTAAATTTTGAACGTCTATCAAGTAGAAGCCGCGTGAAACTTTGATCGAAGATATCTCGGTATCCACCTGATCAAATTCTATGAACTTTTTTTTCTTTAAATTCTACAGATTTCTAATTTAAAATAAAAAAAATTCAGCGAATTTGCTTAGATGTTTGTCGAGATATCTTCAATTAAAGTTTTTAAAAAAATTAAAAAAATTACAGTAGAATGATCGGCGAGGGTGTGGCATTATCAAAAAAGGGTGTGGAAATATCAATTTCCTAATTTAAAGATAGTCTCTATAAGACATAAAATATTGTACGTACAGTACGTCAAATTTAAAATTTGCGTCAGATCAAAAATAATTATCTGTTATCGTTATCCCTAATATAAAATTTCACCTAACTGCTAATAAAATCAATTTGACGTACGTACGTATGTACAACTAATAAATTATATATCTGATATATATCTGATATATCGCTTTGACGTAAACATGAAAGTTGATCTTTGATTCTAGCCAATCAAAATTCTTAATAACTCGCTGCCTTTAATCACGTTAATCCACGTGACGTGAGTAAAAAAATATATAAAGATGGTCGGTTCACAAAAAAATCGGATCCAAACTTGTACAGAGTTAACGTTAAGATATTAATAGTTCTATATGGGTACTTCTGAAGATACTGTTTATTACTCTCTCTATTTTCCTTTTTCATCTTCAATACAATCTTTAGACCAGACATCATTTCTTCAAGAAAAAAGTGCTCTGATTTTATCTGAATTAAACCAATTTCTTAATGGGTATATTTGGCACAAAGATAAATTTCATTTAAGAATTGTACAAAATGAATCAGGTACTATATTAATTTGTCTTGTATATTAGTAATTATATAAAGTTATTTGAATGCATGAATTTTTATATTTAGATTTAAGTTTTCCTTTCTTATATGGTAAAACAAGGT